AGAGAGAGAGAGAGAGAGAGAGAGAGAGAGAGAAGGACACGAAGGACAGACAGACAGACAGGCAGACAAAGAGCTGACGCTAAGTAGATTTGCCCCAAAAGGGAAAGCGTTTACAAATAAACCATTCCGAGACAGGAATAAAAATCATCGTCTTCTGATGGCTTCTCGTTTGGCCTTATAAGCTCACACATGGATGAGCACGCAACCCAATGAACAATGGAGGCAAACGAGACTCGTTGCCATAATAATATAATTCGTACAAATGAACCGCCTTCACATTCTTAAAGGACCAGCTTATACCGGGTGTCCACTGCGGATCGGATCGGATCTAATCGGATCAGGTCATGTCGTGTCGATTAATGACGGCTTCAGTGCTCACTGCAAATAGACCTCTCTTTTGTTGTATCGAATTAGACGAGAATAGAAAACGTTGACCCGTGAGCGGAGTTATTGAACATAAAACGTAGCGTTCACAACACAGTCATTCCCTTCCATAATAGCTTCAAGAGCCGACTGCCTCATATCGGGGTTACTGTATAGAGAGGTTTTTAAATCCTACTGATATGGAAAATGTCGATAGCTTTCTAGATCCATCAGTATCAGCCTCTCAAAATCCACATGTTCCATTACCGCATTGTGTTTTAACGCTGTACATATCTGATCGATCGACTCACGCCCTTGTTTTTAAAGGTCACGATCGAATTCGGTCGAAACATTCCACAACGGTAGCTTTTGTCCCTCTATATCGAAACATCTAGCTAGGCCTGACTCGATTCGACTGAATTCAACTGAATGTGATCGGCAGTTGGCACTGGCTATAACTGGGCGAGGACCACTCGAGACGGAACGACCGTGGTGCCACAAAACGACATCATGAAGCAGCGCCAAAGTGATGCTTAGAACCCTTGCCCGGACGATGAAGGTCAACAGTCTCCTTTTCCTCACTTCTTTAGCTCATCAGCTAGTGATGCTTCGTTCTCATTTCACGAATGAGGGCTTCTTCATCTTCTTCTTCTTCTTCTTTTTATTTTTCTTCTTCTTCTTATTATTATTATTATTATTCTTCTTCTTATTATTATTATTATTATTATTATTATTATTATTATTATTATTGTTATTAGTATTATTGTTAGTATTATTGTTATTTCTATTATTATTATCATCATTATCATTGTCATCATCATCATCATTACTATTATCATTATTACTATTATTATTATTACTATTATTATTATTATTATTATTATTATTATTATTATTATTATTATTATTATTATTATCATTATTATTATTATTATTATTATTATTATTATTATTATAGCCATCATCATTATCATCATCATCAAGTGCTACTTCATTTGATTCCTCTTGTTTCCAAGAAATTCTCAGCAGTCTTCTAAGAAACCATATTTCTGTTGCTTCTATTTTGTTTTCACTATTACTTTTTTAAATGATTGTCTGGCATTCACAGCCGTATAGAAGGCTTGGCCACACATGACCTTTTAGAACTTTTATTTTGGTAGTGATTAGGATGTTTTATTTTCCTGAATTGGGATCTTTTTATTGAAAATGTCTTTAGCCATTGCAATCTTTCGTTTCATTTGTGTGGAACGTTTGGCATTGGATGATATATAATATATATATATATATATATATATATATATATATAGAGAGAGAGAGAGAGAGAGAGAGAGAGAGATATATATATATATATATATATATATATATATATATATATATATATATATATATATATATATATATATATATATATATAGATAGATATATATATAGATATATAGATGTGTTTTGTGTTGAGATGAAGCTATTGTAAAGCGCCTTGGGTTATGTTGTTATCTTTATACCCGTACAGTAATGTTGTAGAAGACCAAGAACAGCTTTAACTGGGGGGGGGGGGGGGATTTTACGTTAGTGGTTTTAGTTTTTACACCCCCATCGACACAGTTAGGAGGCTGGCTTCCGAAATTCCTGCCAGAGCCAACCCGGTCGGAGATGAAAACAATATCCCAGCAGGATGACCGAGACCGAGATACTCGAGGAAAATTAATTTTCCCCACTCGGAAATGGAACTTTGGTCTCCTGCATGCAACAGCAAAGCGCCTAAATGCCACACCACAGACGCAAGTGTAAAGCACATACAGCTTTCTTTCGAGTGGGGACATGCGCTATACAAATGCCATGTATTATTATTATTAAGTACGAGCTGTGAGATCAACCAAGGAATGAGATATTGTGCATTTGACCTTCCCGCACAGAGTAAAACAAATAGTGAGTGTGAGTAGAATAATAACGTAAAGTTTATAAACCTTACCAGGATGGATAACACCAATAACAACAGCATGGATTGATAAAATAAAAAACCTTTCTGAGCATTTTGCCGGTGGTGACAGTGTTCGGTGTTAGTTTGTTTTTTTTAATGGGGGGTGGGGGTGGGGTGGGAGAGATGTTTTGTTTGTTTGTTTTTTTGGTTGTTGTTTTCTGTTGGTTGTTTCATGTTGTTTGTTATTTTTGTTGGGGGGTTATTGTTTGTTTGTTTTTGTTGGGGGGGGGGTTGTTTGGTTTTGGGTTTTTTGTTTGTGTGTTTGTTTGTTGTTTGTTTGTTTTTTGTTTTTGTTTGTTTTTGTTTGTTTGTTTGTTTGTTTTTTTGGGGGGGTTGTTGATAGACTAAGCGCATGTGTTCTTAACGAGTAGGTCATTAGGACAGAACAAGAAATAATAACGTTTTGAAGGGGAGGTAGTAAAAAACAACAACCATGCACTTGGAAGAGGTGGATGAAAGTGTCGCATAAGGAAAAAAGGATATGAAAAAACATCTATGAACGCATTTGCTTTCAACCTACGCAGGTCGTGAGCCTATTCTTTGCTTTGCCGCTGCAAGTTTTGCTTGAAATTGTTACTGTATGCTTCTCAGGAAGTTGAGATTGTTTCAGAATGCTATCAGGTCTGCTGCAGTAATAATAAAGACTGTTAAGTGCATAGAGCTTGCTGTTGAAGGTGAATTTGCGCTACTAATTAATGTCCGCTTTAAAAAGAGATTCGTTTCAAGCCAAAAGCATTCATTTGCCCCTCTTATTTTCAGAATAGAATGAAAATCTGGTATGATAGTAGGACACAGATAAAGTACAGGCTAGCAGATATTTATGATAAATGAGGAAAACAAGAAACAGTAATAACGCAGCGTCTAGCCAGTAGACGTTTCGATTAACGAGAGTTAAAATCTCTTACTTATTACTGGAGTCTGTGATGTAGCGGTAAGGCGTTCCGCAGTCGCAGGCAGGAGACCCGAGTTCGATTTTCGAGTTAAGAGAATATTTATCAAGTATCTCGATCTTTCTGCTGGGATGTTGTATCTTTCCTTTCAGCCCGGGTAGTCCTGACAGACAGGGTCGGAACTCCATCTCCTTAATGATCTAAATTGTGATTTATGGGAGCGTCAAAATACATACACCTAAAGATTAATGAACACATTTATCTCATTATTCAAATGTCTTACTTGTTGATCTTGTCTACGGTCATGAGAAAGGCCTCAACTCTCTGTATCCCATAATACTCTCGGATTTGGCCACACTGCCTGGTGTAGGCGGTCACGTGATTGGGTGCCTCGTGTAGAGGGAACAGAGCGCCGATGATCATATCTCCCTCCTTCCGAGCCCGGATGTTTTTGCTGTTGCCAGGAGAGCCCGTACTGGACATGTCATGTTGAGATGTATCCTGAACTTCAACGGGTTTCCTGAATTCATGACCTTGAGGAAAGCTACTATTCAAAGGAGAATCGGCGCCTGTGGGCTTAGTCGACCCCAGAACATGAGCAGTGGATGACGCGTGGTCTCTCGGTAGAGGTGCACTGTGCAACGGTGTCCGGGGCTCGGAGTAATTACTTACTTCATCCGGTTGTAAGGCTGAGTCGAAACTGTCTGCTGAAAGTCTAGCTACAGTCTTCTCTTTAGTTTGTCTTTTTAGCCGACGTAAGGAGCCCCTCTTTTTGTCTTGAGAACTCCCCGCTAGCACGCCACGAGGAAAGTGTGTAGGCTGTGAGAAGTCGTGACGTGTAAAACGAAACACCGTGTCATGGTCACCCGGACTATTTGGGGAAACAGGAGCCTCTTCAACTGCCCCGTCGACATATGAAGATGGCGATTCTGAAACCTTTTTTATTTCGACTGCGGCTACGTCTCGGTGATACTTATAGAAGAATGAATCATCAGTTGTTGTCTCAGGGTGTCTAGTTTGGACATGCTCTGATTGTGTCTTTGTGGCCCTGGCCTCCGTATTTATGACATTCACTCCATGCCCAAGGACAGAAGAACGAAATTCATGAACGTTTGAGGTATCGTCAGGCGTATCGTTTGAGGTATCGCCGGGTGCATCGTTTGAGAGATCGCCAGGCACATTGTTTGCCCCTGATGTTCCAGACACAGATGATTGCTTAATTAAAGGGTCATAGACGTACCGCTTGTTGGCGTATTCTTTCTCATTTCGTAAAGAAATTGAACCTTGGGAAGTGTCACTCAAAAGCACGCCGTGAAATGTGTGTGGGGGGCGCTCGGACCAGCCCAAGAACTCTCGTCCTCTGTGGCTCTTTGGTAGTGACGTATCTTTGGTCGCAAAAACACAGTGCAAAATTAATGAGAGGCAAAAGCAGCAAGTTAGCAACACTTTGTGTCTGCTTTTCATTGTGATCCGACTCGCGGTGGTGTGAAGACACAATAGCCTATAGCAACCATTGACAATCTATACCAACCATTGATAACCTATAGCGACCATTGACCATCTATACCAACCATTGATAACCTATAGCGACCATTGGCAATCTATACCAACCATTGATAACTTATAGCGACCATTGGCAATCTATACCAACCATTGATAACCTATAGCAACCATTGGCAATCTATAGTGACCACTGTCCTCCACAACAGACTATTGCGACCATTGATATACAAAAAGCATTCACCTTCCTGTTAGGCATATCATCACTGACCACTGTCCATTGTACCTTGTACTGACTCAAGATATGGGAAATAAATAGTGAGCAAGGCGCATATTTTAAGATGATGTGGCACTTGAATAGACATACGGGCCTTGAACATCTAGCTCTCAGTGGTAGAATAGACGGCAAACGAGGCACGGATAAACCCAAATCGAATTACTTGTTAGCCTAAACAGGTGGGTAACTTTACACGACTAGGTTAGTACAGCTGTTTGAGAGCATCTGGCCAAAGGAATGAAAGGAGAAACATGATCAGCGATATCTGGCACAGATCTGGCACTTGCTCTTGATGACGGTCGCCTCATGTATGTTTTGTTAACAACAAGATTCTAAAGGATGACCAAGCATTTCGCAGCATCGGTTCTACTGTAAAGGCTGTGGAGTGTCTAGGAGTGTGCACCAAAGGTTGGGAGTAACGAGGTCGCGCGTAGTGAACGAAATGTCCGGGAATTTTCGTTGTTATGTTACCAACCAGAATGTCTGTTTCTTGGGTAGGATGAACTAGCTTGCAAGTATATGTCTCTTGTGTAGGTTGAACACTTTCACCTGCAGAAAAAATTGTATAATCAAAAAGAACATATCAGTATAGTGAATTAGAATTTCAAACAAGTAGTTCTGGAAACTGAAGTATTCATGAATTGATAATCACAGGTGATATAGTGTAAGGGAGGAGGTGAGCTGGGTGAAGGGACAGAGGTTGTGTACATGTGTGTGTGTGTGTGTGTGTGTGTGTGTGTGTGTCTGTGGGTGTGCGTGTGTGTGTGTGCGTGTGTGTATGTGTGTGTGCGTGTGTGTGTGCGTGTGTGTATGTGTGTGTGTATGTGTGTGTGTGTATGTGTGTGTGCGTGTGTGAGTGCGTGTGTGCATGTGTGTGTGTGTGTG